TGGTTGCTCTGTTGTTACATGTATGAACTGGAACTGGGACTCTTTAATGAGAGTGCAGTGAAAAGTTTAAGCTAATGAACAAASTTAAATGGCCCTTTGTATTAGCAGTGATTCATGCAAGAACTAACACCTTGACCGGRTTGTTCAAAGCTYGATTAGCATTAATTCAGGGTTAACTCCATAGGTTTTTTAAGATTTAACCCAGGATTAGCRCTAATCGAGCTTTGAMAACCTGGCCCTGACGTCTAAGATCTTACATGACTTGTACATATATATTTAATATCAGTGCAAGTCACAAAACTGTGAACAGCAACAATTATCTTGCATAGAAATACTTATACCTCAAAACATGTACATTATGTAAGAATTTGAACTGTCTTTGATACATTGTATTAACCTTCAATATGCGTCTTATTGTGTCCCGTTAAGCATCTTACAGTCCATTTTAATTTGTAAAAAAAATCCATCTACGAAATATTACTTGGCTGTCACAGAGGGTTTACCTGTGCCATCTTGAAAGGTAGTTGTGCCTTTACATTGTACATCAAAGCAAGACGACCATTGAGCATGCAATGATAGATATGTACCAGTGAAGAATTGTCTGTAGGTTTGAAAGGTTTCTATCAAAGCTGTAAGCTCAATGGTCATCTTGCTTCAGTGCAAAGGCACGGCTACCTTTGGTGCAGCAAACCGTCAAGGAGACTTTTACTGGTTGTACAGCCATTCTCCCTGCTAACACAATGTGGGAAAAATCGATGTGCTACATGTAACACACAGAAAACTCACCATTTTCTAAATATATAACTCAGATAAGAAGCTGGCTCTCTTTGCTTGAATTCAGCAATGTATTTTGTATCAAACACCCCAGCAGTGAACATGCCATGCACATCAGAAGTAAACACTTCCAGTTTATCAGGAAGGTCTGAGTAGAGGTTCTGGTACAAGAAGACCAAATCTAACAGCCCATTATGGAAGACCACTGGTTTGTTACACGCCAGAATGTGTGCAAAGAGGTTTCTTACTGAAGCAATGGCATAATCGCATGGTTCCTGAAATCAAGACATTCTTCAATGACAAATCAAGCTCTAGGCCTTATACAGTGCCCATGCCAAGCCACTGTGCTCAGGCACCAAATGTGACAGCGAATGCAGTGCATTTTTTGGTTGAGGGGATAACAACCGTCAAAGCTAGATCAATTACATGTAGAAGGAGCAATGAATTTTTCAATACTCCAGTTTCAAATTCTCTTCTGTGTAAGCTTTGCATAAATCAAGCATAAATTTTTATTGTCTTCTTTTTACACAAGAGTGTTTGCATTACAATAGGATCTCTGCTGAAATAAAATAATAAAAAAATAAAAAAAAATAATATATTACATGCTTTTGAGGTTAAGGCTGCACAATAAGATCTTGAAACTGGAGTATTTCGAACCATGTGATTTCCCGCATTTTAAGGTGCTTCGAGAGCATGGTTCAGCAACAAAAATCTAAAAAAATTTATTTGTTATTGGCAGTATAGGGGTTAAAATAACATCTAATTATTGAATTTCCAAAAATTCTTGCTCCCCCCTGAATGAGCAGTTACCATGGCCTTATTTATACCTTGTCTTCTCCCTTGTGATACAAGACTCCTTTGGAGAACTGCTTGTTGAAGTCAAATCCATGTTGAATTAAAAATTGMAGAGATGCTGGCTCAACAACAAACTCTTGGCTACATAGGACACTTAAATTGAATGTACAAACTTGATACTCTATATTGTAGTTTTTGTCTGAACTGTTTCCTTCACTTGGATTTGAGTTCATTCCATCGGTGGATTCTTGAAAACATGATATTCCTAAAGCTAATATTGACCTTGATTTTGCAACTTCAACCAGGTTTTTATAGCGATCTTCGATAGATCTAAAGATGGAAAAGACTTGTGAATAATTCAAAAGCATAGATAGGATGAGTTAGAATATAAGATCTTGAAAAAAATTGTTGATTAAATCTATAGTACATGTACAACAATTTGCACGATACCAATGTCTTGATAATTATTAAAACATTATTATTTTTGTTAATATTCAATCCAATAGACCTAACATTCTCCCTTYTTGTGTGCAAATGACTTGTGGGATCAATCTAGTAAGAAAAACCATGTTTTACATACTTAGCAAAAAGCTTCTTTCTTTCACCAAGACCACTGAGTTCCTATGAAATACAGAAAATCAGTCACCATTCATCACTATTCATTCTTCGATCTACCAAACCATACCAAGAATATAGTGGCACAAGGCCCACCTATTTCAAATAGTCATTCATTGCTCAGCTTTTATAGTCAAAAAGTCTGTTTTAATTAAACAAACATGGTACTGTCTTATAGAGGCCTTAATTCCCGGGCTTAATTATATGGATTGTTGCTGTATTATTRAACAGCATCAAATAGGGGATTTAAGTAAGTTACATCGAAAGTTCAATACACACTCACCGTGTCCAACGCAACGAACCTYGATTCATATATTGCTCTTAGAAGCAAGGGCCATATTTCATCTARGTTCTCCTTATGTACATCGATTACTGGTACTCTTACGTACTTCTCCATGCATTTAGTCTTCTTTCACGTTTCTTTTTAAAGTAAAAAAAACTGGATTATTGAGGATACAGCGTACAAACGTTCAACAAACGCATCCAGCGCGGTAACACTTTTGATCAGGCGTTCCAAACAGKGCTGGAGGTGGACTGAGGTAGAGTAGAAATTGAAAATGGTGGATTCCCTGTGGTTTCGAAGTTTCTTTTCCAAAAAAAAAAAAGAAAGAAAAACTAAAAGAAATTAGGTGGAAACAAAATTTGGTATGAATGTGTAGTAATGGACGTTCAGTGTGGCATACTGTTGTGTAAACTAAGGGACTGACCAATATTTATCATAAGGGGGGGGCATCTAATTTTATGTGCTTAAAGAGGGGGGCAACGTCTAAAATTAACTAGAACTTTAATTAGAAACTCAAAAATCAACGGTGTCAGATTYGAAAACTTCTCAAGAAAAGCGTMCCCCCCCCTCCTGATAAATAATGCGCAGTCCCTAAGAGTGAAAAAGATCTRAAGTCTGCCATTTTTATTTTGAAATCGTTCATTATAAATGCCGCCACAATGTTATATCCGATTGCGATAAAGCCTGCAAACCTAGTCAAACATTACTCAATGTATCACACTTCCCTTCACGGGTTATYAATTGAAAACCACTTTAATACTGTGAACACAGGTGACAATTCRTCGAGAACACCAATGACTTCTTCACGGCCACCAGAGGCGGCAACTGACAAATGGAGATTAATTTCTTTTAAATCATTAAAGATTTTCTATTTATTGAAGTGGCTGGGAGTTAAACCTCTGAGTTGTTTCATAATTAGACACTGTTTCACTTAAGTGAATCATTGATAAATTGAAGTATTACGAGAATTTAAAAGTCAACACTGTCTAATAAGAAAACAATGTTGAATGAACACAGAAAACCCGTCCAAATAATGGATATGGCCAGACCGTGTATTCTTCGTTTTCATTAAACGTCACAGCGACCATCTTGGAGGAACTTTAACAAAGGATTTATCAGTAGTATCTATTGTTCATTCCTCCAACATGGCTGCCGGTCTTTTATCTTTTGAATCTCATGGGAATGGTTGAAAACGATCAATTAGTGACAATCAGTTTCAATGTTTCTCTTTTGTGTCTATAGTGTAATTCATAATCCACTGCTAATTTTTAGGTTTTATTTCGCGTGTTTTTAGTAGTATTATTTTAGATTATTACTGCAAAATAGTTTCGATTAATTCATTTTAATTTATTTTTTTGTTTTACTGTGCGTCCAAGAGAAATAGCTCCAAATTTATAAGCTCACTCTCCAAGCGCCCATAAAACATAAGATTCGCTGCGGGTATGTAAACGTCCGAAGTTGTCCAATCGACTTTCGCAAGTCGAATTCTAATGGAAAACTGAACTTTCTGGCCAATGTGAGGGAGCAGAAGTGCATACCAGTCCCAAATACATGTGTCTTGTTCAGAGATAATCCTTGTTTGATTAAGATTGTTTACTTTTTATATTCTCCGACTTTCACACAATGTAAAACCTTGTCTAAAGCGCGGAATCCACTGACGTTTGAGCCCCACCCGGAGATGTGACTAAAACGGAGTCAAATATGTAATCTTTTTTTTATGAAGAGAAACTTTTTGTAAGGGATACATAACGGATACTGAGACACTTAAGTGCGCCATGGCTTGAAACGTTTTAAAAATCAAGTAAAAAACTAAATTTGTCATAAGAACAATCTTTGCAGTACAGCTGTGTAAGAGCTCAAAACTTTTACACACCACTACTGATTTAACTTTATTTCAATTTATATAAAATAGCCCTTAAATTAGATCGACTAGCTATAGATATCTTGTTKTCCGTACATGTCCATGACTGGTCCCTGGACTTGACAACAATAAGCCACCATCCGGTGTTAACAAGTGGCACAAAGAGGCTTTTGAAATCAAAGGAACCTGACGGCCAAGAACARGGATATTTAAATAATTCATACATATCAGAATTATAAAGACGTTTTGCAGGCCTGGCTGTGCAATAGTTCATTCATTCACGACAAAGAGACGATAGGTAAGAGGACTTCCATTGACCCAGAAAACTWGGTTTAAATCCCTTTTAACTTATTTTGCGASTTTTTAAATCTGACGCATATTGCTTTTAACAATTTCTGGATGAAAKTTCGCTATTTTGAACACCGCTTTGAAGGAAGGAATCTTGCAGAACTTTTCCATTAGCAAATATTTTCAAAAGAATGGCCATTATTGAAAAACCTTTCAAGTGCTTCATCYATTGCTTGATATCATTGTACTCTCAAAATGCATCGTCTATATAAAGTACTTTGCTCTGTGGGCATTTTAAAATATATTCGCTGTATTCTATCGTTACTTTATTGTTATGCATCCTTTAAAAGAAACGATTATTTTACAATGWTGCTTTTACTTTTCAGGTGAATCATGGACTCTAGACATTTAATATTTACATCCGTCGTAGCGCTTCTTTTAGGAGTCGCTTTGGTTTATTCGTTTCCAGAAAACTCCTCCGCCAGAAAAGTCGCAGGTTGGTTCATATTGCTCTTTTTTTGTTTCGATTCATTGAACCGGAATATAGAGTTATAAAGTGTATACATTTTATACGGAATCATCAATGTTTAAACCTTTTTAAAGTAGCAATTACAACACTCTTACTAAATACTTTTATTTTAAATTTTGTTTGGAAAACCCATTAAATCATTTCTTGATTTAGTATCCGTTTAGTTATAAAAACAACTTGAAAACTTGTTTTCTTTTTTAGTTTTATAGTAGTTTATTTCACTAAAATTCGTACCAAATGCCTTTTTACGATACTGTTCCTCTTCCAAATAGCCAAAAAATATATTTTGAAATTTTTCAAAACCGACTCKGAAAAAACAAAATGGCGGCGCACGTTTCTTGCATAGCTAATGAGMTGCTAGGTAACCCTACCTTCATGGTGGGCCATTGTCTGAATTATGGTGGCAAAGGAAACGATCGAGGGCAAAACCCGACATGAATAATTGATATTTGTTTACAAAATGTTATTTTTCACATTCATTAAAAAAGTAAATTTTTACTTTTACAAAATGGCTGCTAAAAAGTGACTTTTTAAAAACAAATGGCTGTAGGGTTTATTCCAACTCAATGAAATATCTTTGCAAACTTGTAGAACAAAAAAGTTAAAAATATTTTTTTTAAAGTTAATGTAAATGATTGTTTTGATTTGTAATTTCTCAATGTACCAACGCCACGTTGTATTTTTGTTTTTCTATTGTTTTTTATCCACAAAAGACGAGTTCTTTTGAGTCAATAAAATAAGGYTGTCGAAATATTCCTAATAATCGTAATATAATTAAATAATACAGATTTTTCTATCAATGAATACTTTTTCTTTTTCAACTAAGTACGGTTCACTGAGCTTTAACTCGGCAATTCTCCTTTGTCCTCGAATATTCGGCGGTAGCAAGAAAAATAAATATCGAATTTTTACAAATTAAGAGAAAAATGATAACTTTCGTATGCGAAACTCTAAAAAAAACATAGAGACATCTTTGAATAAAATGCCCAAGAACGAACAAGACTTTCTTCGTCAACTTCCCATGGATTCTTGTTTGGAGTATCAAGCTAGATGAGAAGAGTGAGCCTGCAGTACATGCAACAGAGATGTCAGCGATTATCAACGGTAATTATGGAATTCCTTTTGTCTTTTGCTTTTTGTTTAATTCATGACAACTTGAACTTGTTTTGATCATCGCTTGCGAAATCCTTTTTGCCGAATTTTGCTGACGTGTCTGTACGTTTGTGTCTGAGCGTTCACTAATTCCTGAATCAGCCTGTTTGACATAAATATTAAGATTTATAAGTACCTAATACATCATATTTTTTACATTTTAATTTTTTGATAATTATCCTTATTCAAGTATCTTGCACTTAAGGTCAATTACTAAGTAGATGTTACGAAAATCTAATTGCTATAATTATTAATTTGTCTTGATAACCGCTAATAACGAATCCTTTAAATCTATAATATACTAAAGTAGTGCTAACACTAACCATTTCTAATTCCGTTAATCACGAATTAATGTCGTTAATTTAGTACACGTTTTTTACAATAGCTTTATAAAAATCTTATGCTTATATAACGTTTGTATTGCATGAAATTTAGTTAAATTTATATTGTGCATGAGCTGTATTGATATTAATTCTATTTGAGTTTTATTTGATAATTAACCTAAGCACAAGTTCTTTGTTTGAACTAAAATACATGTTTATATGAATTAAATTTTCTAATGCATACCAAGTGTCAGCCATCTTGATTTTCCTGACAAACTTTATTCTGTGCCCTTATAAGGAAGCAGAATTCCATATTTGGAAATTACTGATAAGTGATACTTTACACTCGTCACCAGTCCCCAAACGTATACAAGTGACGTCATCTTTGTTAAGTGCCTAGGCAGGCTCCATTAAATCGCGTAAATAGATTGAGCAAGAAAAAATAGTTAACTATATTTGGTTAGTTTATTAATTTTTCATCGCTTTGTCTTCAGGTCGATGGGATCTTATTTCCAAACGAAATGCTAACCCATGCCCTCCCGGTTGTCCTGGCGCCTGCGCTCCAGCGTGTACAGCAGTCTGTTGTTCTCCACCACCACCTCCGCCACTACCTCCTCTCCCACCTCCACTTCCACCACCACCACCACCAGCACCAGGCCCACCCGGCCCTGATGGACCTATGGGATTACCAGGCCCACAGGGCCCTGACGGTCCTAAAGGACCACCAGGACCACCTGGCCTACCAGGACCACCAGGCATTCCAGGATACCCAGGATCCCCTGCTGGACCACCAGGACGTGACGGACCTATGGGACCTCCAGGACCAGCCGGTAGCCAAGGACCACCAGGAGACATGGGAATGATGGGACCGAGTGGGGTCTTAGGAGGAGTTGGCAATCATTTAGGATAGGAAAGGAAACGTTTTTTAAATCGACAATGGCTTCTCGAAATTGAAGACGACGTATAAAGTTGACAAGCAAGATGTTGTCCATTGAGTGTACATATTTTGGAGAGAGGCATTYAAATTGCGAATACAGACACTTTTCTTTTCATATTTTGATAGAAATGATTGACGAGTAACATTTCGAATATTTTCGTTACACAAACAGATTAYTTAGAGGATATATTGTAGTAGTTTAAAGACACAATTTATTGAACAAAATTTATTTCTTACAGAAAAAGATATTATTGATTAGAATAATCYACGAAATTTAAGAATTTGACTGCAAATGACTGAATATATGTGCAACATATTGTTTATTAGAATAAGCTACGAAAATTTAAGAATTTGACTGAAAATGACCGAATATAAAAAATACGATGGAGATATGCTTTAAACTATATTTTCAAATATTTTATTAGATTTTTCAAAAAGCAAGCTTTTCGACCTTAAGAAATCCGCTGTGGTTTACAAAGTCAAGGATTTCTTTTTTTAAAAGTTCCCCCATTCTTCATTGTGCTGTAATACAATGAATTTAGTAGACGTTTTCAATAAAATGGCATTTGAAGCCAATTGAACATTATCTGTGAGTTATTCTTTATTTCTAATCCATCTTAACGTTTGCGATGAACGTTTGCGCGAGTAGCTAATCCTGTAGCCCTCAGCCAATCTCAAGCTACACATATCGGAGTTATAAATTGTCTGGTATACTTGGCATAAAGGCATGTTTTTAAAATATCATAAGGGGGTTCTGGGCATTCTCCAACAGAATACTTTGAAATTATAACTCTCGGAAATACGATTCCCAGTGCTTTGAGGGGCATCGAGAGTATATAACAGGCATCAACATTTATATGCATTTTTTTTATAATTTGGTAATGAGAAAAGTCAGAAGAATTATTTGCCCCCAACCCCTCCCCGGTCCCCTCTCGCAYGGTTCCTGATTTCCGCTGATTATATACTCGTTTCTTAGCTACTCAGAGCCCGCATTATTATTATCGTCGCTAAGAATATGTTTCTTATAAAGCGTTTATTTAATTCCATTCTTCTCAGATCACAAGAGAAACACGCGATACGTCCCAGCAATCTCACCAGCCCTTTCCTCAAACTACAACAATCTAYCTTACGACCCAAGACAGCCTCCAGGACCACCRGGGCCAGACGGACCACCAGGGTTACCCGGCCCACAAGGACCAAAGGGACCACGAGGACCTCCTGGTCCACCAGGAAACATAGGAGCTTATGGATGGAAAGGTTACCCTGGTAACCCAGCAGGACCTCCTGGTAGACCAGGACCACCGGGCCCCCCGGGACCACAAGGTGGCAGAGGACCTCCCGGTGTTGCGGGTGCTGCAGGATCAGCTGGTGGTGCCGGCAAGAGATGAATACCACTGGGGTTTTTGTAATTTATATTGCAGTTTTTTAATGTAGACCTGATTTTTTGTTAAACCCAATGTTGTTCAAAAACGGTCCATAATTCGAAATTGTTTATACCACTTATATTTTGAGCTCTTGTTTGCTATAGAAATACCTCTAAACAAGTTAAAATACATTTTTTGTTTAWTGCTTGCCCGAGTAAGCGCACGAAATATATGCGCTCAGTAAAAATCTAACATTTTRTATTTAATTTCTGTCAATTTTTCTTTTATATTTCATATTTGTCAATAAAMCTTTGAAAAAAGTCCTTTTGTATGTACTTCAGTTCTTTGTGGTATAATACACTAACTGTAACCTTCCTATGTGTAAGTGATTATTCACGGCCGCCATCTTGAATTTTGAATTATTATACGTGTAGGGGGACCCTATCTCCATGTAAACAGGGCCTTAAGCAAAACAGTACGTCTTGTTTTACCTTTTTACATAAACACCACATTATATATAAACATACTGGATTACCCTTAGAATTTTAGTTTTGGACGCGAGTTTCATGTAGAATTTTGACATAATGCATTACGATATCTGAGCTTTTGCGCATGCAAGTACTACAAATATTTTTTTACTAACTAGAAAGAGGCTTGTATGTATATCAAATATACATTAAGCCGGCTAACGGCATGTTCTATAGTTCATGATCCAGTTCGTGGTTTCATCTACTAAGATTTTCCATCTATAAGGATTATAGTAGATTCAAGCTTTAGAGGATTTTCGATCCTTCCTCCATAAAATTACTAAAACCAGTATCGATTCTACCTAAAATATCGTATTTTCCTGGTGGTCCGTCACTATTCAACGGCGACGTTGACCTGGTGCCATGCGTTCGATAAAACACCCCTCAAATTCCATATAGGCGCAACACTGTCAGGTTGGACGTTGTACGAGCTATCAATGGCTTTACAAACGATACTAAGCTCATTGACGCCTTCTGGGATAGGTACAGTAGCCTCCCATAAAGACCACGCCCACGCCCGATTAGGGGGTTGTTTTGCTCCCTCAAGGTTGGCAGTTGACCATGTTTTCCCTCCATCCACCGAAATATCCACGCGCACAATACCACGCCCTCCTCCGCTCCATGCATACCCCCTGACAGTGACCTCTTCGTCGTCACGTGACACCTTGGAGTGGGGACTGGGCTGGCAGATGGCTGATGTCACAGGCTGTTCTTGTATGGCGGGTGAGCCTGCAAAATTAACGGTGTCCCAGTCGACTGAAGGACAGAAGCCCTTATAGTCGTTCTGTTGCCAATGGCTTGTGCTTTCGTCTTTACTGGCGACGACTTTGGACAGCCATTTGACGTTTCTAGCACCCACGACCCCTGGGACGATGGCACGCACAGGGTACCCGTGATCAMGTGGTATTGGTTTGYTATTCATTTCATAGGCCAGTAGGACATCACCGCGTGATGACATGGCTGTAGTAATAGAAAAAAAGGATTAGAAATGAAAGGGGTTAGGTTACTAGCTTGTTATGTTTGACAAAAATTAATTAATAATAATTACTATATAATATTACTTTATGTGTATTGAGCACTCTTTAATGGGATCAGCCACTTCCTCATACAATTATAATAATAATTACTAATTAATTATCCCATCTGCCATATCTCGCGGTGTCCGTAATAGAGAGAGTTGACTGTATTTAGATTGACACGTACCTTTCTCAACAGGTATAGAGGAACCGTACGTCGTTCCCGTCATCATATCTTTATCATATCCTTCAAACACAACATGTTGAACACCTGCCTTCTCCATGGCTTCCTCGTCCATCCCTGCTGCCTCGAAAACATCCTTGAGCAGTACACCACTCCATTTTGCAGTGGAGATAGCACCCTGGCCCCAATTCAACCCTTTGACCTTCTTCACTTCGTTCATTTCACTTCTTCGATTGCCGGCGCATTGAATGGTCGTCGTGACAGTACGCTTCTTGTATTTTGTCTTCAAATCATCGAGTGATATAACAATAGGCTTCATGTTCTCTCCTGAAATGTGAAGTCTGTAATCTTTCTCGTTAAGATTCGGCACAGGGAGGTGGTTGCGTACAAAGAAAAGCTCACTTGGAGTTACGTAGTTGTCGGCGAGAAGCTCAAGCGGTGGTTCAGCGTTGAAGGGTTTTTCTGAGTTGAGCCTTAGCGCTGGGTGTCGATGTGGCTCGTCTTTGAAAGGATCATTCTCATTGAATTTCTTTTGTTTGCGCTCTTCTGGTGCAAGATCACCTATGCGGTATTCTTCGAGTATTTCCAGTACTTCGTCTTTTTTGTGTACTGGGTACATTGCCCAAAAGGGCTCAAGATCACTTCCTGCGGCTAATATGATCTTGCTTGACCCCCCCGGATGATTCTCTATGAATTCACTAATGTCGTAAACACCYCCATTATACGTTACCCAAACACCAGATTGTTGGTTGTTGTGCTTTGAGAGCTCTTCGCGAGATATTGTACCTGGTTTTGAGCCATGRRTTGTGTTTCCGGAAGGTATTTGCTTGGCATGGAAACCCTGGAAATACAAAAGTGACTYTTAAATCAAATAAAGACTAAGAATAAATAAATAGAAATAGATGAATAAACAACTGAGAAAATCATTTCACGAGTGATGGTTTAGGCTGAACTCGGGTTAACGCTGCCGCATACTGTTGACACTACTGCCAACCAACCAACCAGCCATACAATCAATCAATCATCTAATAAATCAATCATCCATTCAAATCAATCAATCATCATTTCAATTAATCAATCAATCAACCTTGAAACGATAGTTCATCCAAACAATCAATTCATCATGATTTAGAAATAAAGGAAAGGAATAGTGCTTAATTAGAAGGAGGTTATTMCAAGAGAAAGACCCTTGGAAATAAATATTGAAAAAACCTCGTTGGGATTCAAATCAATTATAAATCATATCAATYAACTCGATCAATAAAAAACTGCAACAAATCACTCAATCAATAATCATTACATTTCTTACTTTATTYTTTTGATAAATCAAACCAGCACCCACTGCTACCCCAGCCAACACCCCCAGCAACTCATATCTGTAACTACTGGTTTCCATGGCAGCTGATACATTCTGAGTTCTCATGAATCTCTTTGTAACTGGTAAAGCTCTCACAGATGACGCTGTGGACCTGTGAAGATTATACTTTTATTATTTCTATTGCTATGTTACATGTATCCACCCCCCTTCCCCCCTGTAATGACATGTAATTTTTAAGGGAGTGCCAGGGGGGAGCTATCAAATTTATCCAAATAGGCCATTTGCATGATGGTGTAACTTTACTACARCCACCAGAGAGCCTTGCGCATTTTCATTRTTATTCWGATTTTTAATCCCCTTGGAGATTAATAAAACAATTGGCACTAATTGCATTACARAAGAAAGTTGGCAAAGCATTCTGGTAGTTGRAGTTGATGYCGCCATAATACAAAWCGTCTATTCCCAGACAATTCGATGGTATGTACACTGTCCATGTATTATTTTAACAATAAAAATCGTACAAAACTCAGTTTCTTTGAGCATTTATTCAGTCACCATTAGAGTACAAACATTAAAACTGTGCAACATAAATACCACTAAATACTGCTAAATTATGCTAATTCTATTGTTTAATTAGCACTATTTTGTAGTAAATAGTGGAAAGTGTTGCATGCTTTWAGTGTTTGTACTCTAGCCATTTCTTTTGGCTTATTTCAGTTAATTCAAAGTTGAAATTTCTGAGGTTATTTTGAGACATGAGCAGCAGCACAAAACCTGGGACGTATTGGTCAAAGTCTGACTAGTATTAATCCAGTGTTAACTCCATTGCTCTTTTAATGTTATTACATGGGCTTCCTTTGAAAGCTCACATCTAAAAATGTCAGTGGACTTTCCTCCGTCGTTGTCGTCGTTATCGTCAATATTAGGCTTCAAATTATGGTAGCGTCAGCCAAAAAAATAGAATGTCTTTCTTATTCTTGTTGTAATGTTAACATTTGTTTAATTATAATAAAAAAAACAATTAATTTATACCAAGGAATTCTTGATCTGGAGACTCTTCTTGCAGCCTGACTCAACATATTTTTACTTTGRAAAAGCTAAAACAAAGAAAACATTTATTTTTCATTAATTCTTCTCAAACACTGGTATTTCCTATACTAATAGACCCAAATAACCGGAATAATTACCCTTCACGTCTGAACCATAAACTTTTACAGATCTTGGAGAGTTTTAATTACATTATTGAACAATGGTTTATATTTCTAAATAAGTCTTAAAACTCAATTAATCTTTTACCATAATAATATATGAAACAAGCGTATTGTATGCAATAACTTAAATCCTTGAAGAATATAAACGCACCAGTTACGGATAGTCGAAATTCGACCTCGTTGGTCAAATATCTGTTGAAAGCTGATAGCTTAASTTTAATATTTTAATTTATCTGTTATATACATTTTAATACAAATTTCTGATAACATAAAGTCTTTTTGGCTTATTTCTTCATGCAACAAGTAAAATATCAGCTAAATATAAGACTTTACAAAGAAATTGAAGTTTCAATTTGTTTTGAGCTTTTTAGCAAGATTTTACAATTATTTATCAGAGAGTTCTAGCTCAGCTARCCTTGAAAATAACCCAGCAAACTACGCAACAACTTACCTTTTAAAGTATAACCAAAGGGGTTAATTTATCAACGTAAAAAGTCACTAAAATGTGAAAGAAACCAACGTACGTGACACCACGATCAACAGTGGAACATCATCACTTTGCTGWGKTGCCTGGCCTTATGCCTGGTCAACCACAGGAAGCCCACTATTACTTATCCTTTTCGTCCRGATTTTTCAATCGCGCCAATCTTTTTTCACGATCCCGCAATCCCGTCAATTTTAATGTCTCAATCCCGATCCCGCATTTTTCTCTTAATAAATCATTAACTTAATATATAATATCACATCAACAGCATACATTTCATCTTATCGACTCTTTCAACTCTCGGACTGTGATTTACATATACCTAATACAATGCAGAAAAATATAACAACAATTGAAGARAGAAATAAACTATTCTATTCTATTCTTCTTTTCCGCCAATCGTCCTCTTGCGTTGTTTGATCCTACCGCGAAAAAAACGCAAAATCCCGATCCCGCTTGCATTTTAAGATCTTGCATCCCGTCAAGATCCCGYATCCCGCCAGCACAAAATGGCTAATCCTGCATCTCGCAAAACCTATTGTGTACCCTCGATTTTTGAGGTGACGAGTATTCATCACTACATAACAATATTTAATTGATATAAACTTTTTTTAGTAAAAACCGAGCTTCAGCACTACATAAGACTGYAGAGATAAAACTAGAGCAGACTTCGCATGACTCYGAAAAAATAACACAAGRCAAGAACTTGAAGTTTATTTAACTCAAAAAGCGAGTACAGTTGACTCTCTTTGAACGACCACTCTTGTAAGCGACCATCTCACTTAAACGACCATCCGTTATGATTGTTTCCCATATAAACTATCTGCCTAAAAAAACTCTCTCGTAAACGACCATCTCCCTTTGGCGACCACTTTTTCCTGATCCCGAGGTGGTCGCTTAAGAGAGACTTGACTGTACATTCAAAGTTTGCAGTGTAGTTTTTGGAGTATCCATGGTAACACTTGATGTCACATGAGCAACTGAACCTCGCATCTCATAATTGAAGTTTACTTAATAAGCTAGAATCAGGTATATTTGGATAGGATGCAAATAAAAAAAATTGTCATACAATACAATACAATACAATACAATAAACTTTATTTAAGGAGGGTGACACGATTAACCCAAAGAGTTATCTAACACGTGGTCATGATTGTCGCTATAATAGACCTGATAACTGCTCTTCAACCCAACTCGTTAATAGAAACATGTTTGAGTAAACTCCATATTTGTGTGGAATTGCGCATCCAATCCCGAAAGAMACTATACCCGTAAGACACCAGACACCGCGCTCCKCGCAGGCCARCGGTCCACCACTATCAAACTGACAAGGTCCACGTCCACCCGCCTCAGGCCCCGCACAGATCGCACTGTCGTGAATAACTCCATTATAACTGATATTACTGTTACAAACTTCTTTAGGGACTATATCCACCGTGATCTCTTGTAGTGTACTGGATTGTGAACCTTGCTTTGACGAAAGTCCCCATCCTGTCACATGACAATTTCTTTTTAGGACAGAAGATGCGTCTTTCGGTAAGAGACATATAGGGAAGGTGCTTGTACTTAATGAAATGTTGACWGATAGTTTGAGCAACGCTGTCAATATAAACAAAGAAAACAACTTAGAAGTCCACATTGCCAAATACAAATCAAGGATTATAGGTGTAACTAGCCTCCTCGGTAGGCATCTCTCTCTCTCTGGAAGTCTGGGAACAAATATACACTCTCACCAAAGGAAGCCCAGCCGCTCGTAAAAGAAACGGAGTTTATATAGAGTTGCCTAATATTTGGTATATTACACGCACTGGGTCGAGAACCGCGCGTACGCAGACGCGACGTATGACACCATTCAATCTTTCGTGCGCTTTGATTGGTCACAATCAGTGTACGCACATTGTTATTTACGTTTTAACCGTTACGATGATACAGCTATTTCAAAAAACGTTGTCGGGGAGAACGGAGAACGGCAATTGTCGAAGGGAGATTGCACGACCGCAAGGGACTATGGTTGCACTGTTTTGATAAACAAAATTTCCCTGATTGGATTCACCTTACATAGAAATTCAAGACTAAATGGGGTCAATGTTTGCCACAGATGATTTACAGTACAAATCAGTTGCTATTGCCTGTAAACTAGCAAAAGCCATGGCTACTTTCGGTCGTGCAATCGACGTTCGACTATTGACATTCGCCATTTTATCGACAACCTTTTTTGAAACAGCTAGCTATATAATTGCGCATTCCGTGAAATATTATATATTATACTGAATCATTATCCTAGTTCCGTTATTGTTAGATTCAGAAAAGCATKATTTATTTCAATCCAAACATACCTATGTCATATTCACATGGTCGTTSAAAGGTTGGTCCGTTGTATCGAAATAAAGGGTGTATGACAAAAGATGCAATGTCTGTAGTTTTTGCAYCGTCGACCTGATCTTGACCTAGTATTGCCTTCCAATGATTTACTTCAGAATCTAAAATAAATCATCTGTAAGTCTGGACTTCACTACGAAGACYATGTAGATCATCCGGCGTTAAGTCAGTGGGGTCGGATCCATGGGGGTGGGGTAGGGAGKGGTGCCACCCTGCACGTATAGTACAKACCCTACYCTTGTTGTGTAAATCTTACGAAACGACCTTACGTACGAAAACCTTACTAAACATTGATGGATGAATTCATTAATTTTCATTAATTTTTATTCTCAATTTCATTAATTTAAGCTTCATTGATTTAACTTTGAAACTTGCCTATTAAGCAATGGGCAGCGGTTACCACAGTATCAGGGGCAAGCAAGGACCCCCCACATACCAATTTTCCATTAAGCATCAAGCCAACCATCCAGGGCCACTCTTGAATAACAGCATTATTTCCACTAACGATTCGTCGTGATGGTATGATCAATCGCTGACCGCAAGGTTGCGCTGCTTCACCTGTGGTGAAAATAATCTGTTGTCAAATTTAATGTCTTGTGTGTAGTATGTTTTCGTATAGACCTCGTCAAAGTTCCTTGCACCATCAGTATCATTATTACATGTTAGACTAAGAAAATTATCCATCGGCAAAAGTACATAAAGTGTAATCCTTTTATCATATAATTATCTAGGAAATACCTATATTACTCCATTTCCTAAAGTTGATATTTTCACTAGTGAAAATAACACATTCGAGGTTTCTCTAGTGGAAGTAAGAAAAAAGGTCTTTTATGAAATAATTTGCTTTCATGTGTAATTATATCTGATAAACAGAATATTACATGGTCGCTTTGGAGATACGAATTTTATCTTCTCGTGTTAAATTCGCTACGCTCACTCATGAGAGATCTTTTAATTTCAACACTTGAAGATAAAAATCCGTATCTCCGCGCGCCCATGTAATATCCTCTATTGGTCATCTTTACACACATATATGAAAAAACCGATAAACCAAAAAGTCCTTTTTAAATAGTTTGCATTGAAAATTATTATATATGCCATAAAAAGAGGGCATAGTTGAGGGCATAATAGCTTTTAAGCTATTAAAATAGCTTATGTACTTACCAAAATGACGTCTAGACGAAGCGAATATCAATAAAAGTATAGCAAATGATATTTTCATTGCCGTTTTTCATCCCACAGAAGCATTGAAATTATTCCGTCTCATTTCCACCACTTTAAAGGGAAATATTGCTTACTTTCAATAGATTTTTAAGTTAATTTTTTCACATCGTTTCYCGACTACCTGTCAAAGAATATAATAAACCAGCTAGCACTTTTCAATTTAATGAACCAAATTACGATACACCTGTAATTCCATTTTCTTACTACACAAAGATATAATCCTTTTAAAAAAATACATGGACTTTTATTAGAAAAAACTAACTCAACATTTCCGAAGTACAAGTTTTGTACATGTAAAGTATTCCTGAGTAAGGAAGGGAAATTAGCCGTTTAATGACCCTGAAGTTTTTCAATTTTAAAAATTGGTAAGTACGCTTAGCATTAGAGAAAACTTGAATAGTGTGGTTTCAACGGCCCGTGAACTACACTTTAGTGCACTACACTTATTTACTCTTTATTCGTACGTTTTGACTGTCATTTCGGTGCTGCCATCCGCAGCACTTCACTATTGCACTTTGTTTCAAGGGTTAAAGATAAAGAAAACCAACATACTAGTCGAATACGTGTTTGTACTAGTTTCCATTCATGAATCTTTGCGGATTTAATTCAATAAGCTCTTATTATATATTTGGGCGTCAGAGTAAAGTTAAAAACCGCTCTGTCACTCTTGCGACATTTTCACAACCTAAAAAAAAAACAAAGGGATTAGAATGGATGAAGACAAAAGAAACTTGTTTTCTTTTGTTAATTTTTTTGTCTTTAATTAGCTTACGTTTTTCCTTAAATTGTTAACTGCTGTACGCTTGACTTCATTCCTTTGTCTTATTTTTTTTTCTGTTGTTTTTGCCTCTGTTTATGTCGTAGTTTGAACCGGACTTTAGCACGGAAAACCTTACAAAAGACGGCAATAAAGCGCTCTCTAAAAGTGAAGTGTTTAAAAAAGCGAGATATATATGTCGTGAGAAAAATTTTATGAGTGACTGTTCTGGAGTGGTATCTTAAATCAGTCACAATGTTTGCCATCAATCAACACGATTTCAGTGGCAACTTTTCAACATCTTTGAAGCACACTTAAGCGATTGAGTGATCAGAAGTAATCGCAAGAGAAGAATGAATTGTCAATCCATCGGCGTGTTAGTCTATCCATTAAAATCTTATTTCTCTCTTTCTTTTACTGGATATTTAAATTGTCTATCGATGATCGGATTCCTCTTTTTTTGTTWACATCTCTTTCTATTTATCACATTCATTGCCCATTCTATGTTTTCATTCATTCATTCATTAATTCATTCAATAAGTACATTCAAAGCATCCTGTATTTTTCATTTCTTTATCCAATTTCAGCTTTTATTTATTTTTTTGCTCTTTGGTTCAACATTCTTTTGAAAATCATAATGAATTCAGTAACCCTGAGCCTAAGTTAAGCCAAAGGTCGTTTCGTCAGGTTACGATTTTTCTGGTGGATGTCTGACATTATTCATCGGTATCTAATTGATCTAGTCTCCAAGCGTGTGTTGTATAGGCTACTAGCACGAATAAGCTCAAAAAAAAGCATCGCATTTACAGATAAATCCAAGAGCTTCTGATAAAAGCAAAGGTACAATACATTGTTGATGATAAATTTGACTGATATGCCGTTATATCAACAATTGAATTAAAATTAACTGCATGCCATGAGAACGCATGTACGACGGGTGGATGATAAAGTCCACGCAATAGATTTTGTATTGACTTTATCAGATAGATATTATACAGGATATTATATGGTTGCGCAGAGATATGGATTATATCTTCGAGTTTGAAAAGATTTCTCACAACTGAGCGTAGCGATTTTCAACACGAGAAGATAAAATTCGTATCTCCAAGCGAACATGTAATATTCTGTTTATCATATCATTACATATGAAAGCAGATTATGTCGTAAAATACCTTTTTTCTTACTTCCACTATATCGAGAAACCTCGAATGTGCTATTTTCACTAGTGAAAATATCAACTTTACGAATGGAGAAATATAAGTATTTTATAGATAATTATATTATAAAAAGATTTATTCAATGCGTTTATTCAAGTTCCATGTTGTCCATTGTATTGGATTTTGCACCTCGTATAAATAGCAATATAGACACATTTTTCATATCATCATTATTGACTTGAATATTGGCAAATATCCCTTTTGTTATTTTCTTCGACCTGGGAATTCATCAACAATGATTATGTCAATTTGCGTTGTTTTTATGGATAAAAACCTTTGAGAGAACATGTATAAGATACTTCGACTGACGTCAGCGTATAGCTTAGTATATCTTTCTTTATCGGTGATTAACTCACTACTGTGAGAACAAAGATTGGCATTTGATAACTAATAACAAAGAAACAGGCAAGCAATTAAAAAAACGTCCAGTAGAACAATAGAACATAACGTCAACATTCAGTTCTTTTATATCGTTGTCTCACTCAGCCACAAGTATCTTCTGGACGTTGAAGTTGTTGGTTTAACTCTTCCTGTACCCATAGAAAGGCTGTTTCGTAGTGGTAGAAAAAGTCAATTGAAAAGTCCTTATTGCCACAGAAAGCCTTTATATATCGCATATTAAGATATATAAACAAGATAAGTTGCCTAAAATATTTATAAAGAGTATTTGGATTTTGATTAAGCTGATTAATCCTTTGTTTTGATTTTCATTTGAAAATTTATTCTCATAATTTTTTYACTATTTGAAAATTAAACTTCCCTTTCAGGCAAAAATATGAAGTATTGTCCTTTGTTCATGATAGCAGCCCTGGTGGCTCTCGAATTAGCAAAGGGTAAGTAAACAGTCTTGAGTTGAATATACTGCCGGTACGATTTATGCTGTTGTGCGGTCAAAACGAAAAGAATCATGGGTAGAAATCTTTAAACGACCTTTGGTAGTAACTCTCGTAATCTKTGCGCAAAGCGTTAAGCAAATAGACAGAGTTAAGTTCGTAATATGCAAACAAGGGCGTATCCAATGGAGGCGGTCAAGGATCGTTAAGGTGGCTAGCCACCGCCTTTCAGGATTCAAAATATAGAAATAGAAATAAGAAATTTAAAAAAAGATCTTAATCGCAGTCCTAAATCTACTATTGATCATGATAATTATTCTCGAGTTATAGCCCCCCCCCCCCATTATTATGTTCCCCCTCCTCTCCCACCTCCCCTATTATCGTGTCCCACCCCACCCCCAACCCCCCACCCCCCCATTATTGTGTTCTGCTTTCACCATTAATTTTAAGTTGCATGTCACATGCTAAAGTTAGCCATGCATATTACTCTTCGACCTTAGTCAGGTCGAAGTGAGAATTCCCCGGCTTCGCTGGTCGATGCTCCGTCATTCCTTTTTCGACTGATTATCGTTATTCAAATGTTAAAAACCAACTTGCCATCTTGTTTAACAGCTTCTTCTGTAAAAAGACCAAAATGCAACAATAAGATTGACCTAGCAATTGTTATCGACGCTTCTGCAAGCATGGGCGAGGAAAACTTTGCAAAGTCAAAAGCTTTTGCCAGAGACTTGCTGAGCCATTTTGACATTTCTGAAGAAGCTACTCACGTATCTTTGAGCTATTTTTCTTTTTACACTCACCTTGTCACGGCATTTGATGATGAGGACTCTAGTGTTGCCACCATGTATAAAGAATTAAAGAAAATGAGATATGAGGGCTCATTCACAAACCTGGCGAAAACTGCGACCGGGCTTCGTTACAAAGTRTTCAGCAAGGATCGAGGAGCAAGGAAAGGACAAAAAGGTAAAAAGTTAGATCCATGTGCGAATGGATTTATGAATACTGGGTGGAATGGTAGCATCGAATTTTAAGCTGACTAAATTAAGTTAACCTTTGATAATGGTTCGTAATTTACCTTCTATAACCTATCAAGCGGTAAAACGCAACAACAATATAAATATAAACCAACCAAAAATAAACAGACAAAAAAAAATCACCAACCACTGAACCAACAAACCAACCAACCATTTAACCAGCCAACCAACTAATTAACCAACCGACCAAACAGTCAAACACCCAAGCCATCAATTTACCAACCAGTTGTGGGAAAATATCTTGCAGCCCATCATGTCGAAGGTCTTGGTGTGYAACTCTTTTGATGGYWGACGGTTAAAAAACAACCGATTTGACGGTTGAGGGCTAAACCTTTCCCAAACGAATCAATGCAAACATCAATTTGACTAATACCTTTTCACTATTAGCATTTAATAAATAYCAATATTACAAATTTGATAGATTCCAAAATGGTGGCAGTTTTTCTAAGCGATGGGTTCGAATCGATGGGCCCTGACGAGATATCATTTTGTATCAGCGAGTTGCACAATTATGGCGTTGAGACGTTTGCTGGTATAGTTGACGGCGAAAACAGTAACGAGGGAATCGACTCCTTAGTCAGTCCCGAGAAGAAGGATCACAAGTTCACCATGTACAACGACCCAAAGAAAAGAAAGATCGAGTTAGAAAGAATGGTCCAGTCCATTTGTAAAATTTAYAATAAACCGAAAGAAACTATAGCGGATACTAACGAAGCTATGGAAGACGGTGAGCAATAGWCTCGYTGTATTAAACGTAACGTCGTGTGTATCTTTTTAATTCATCACTGAGAGCTGATTTTACAACATCATTTTTTGAAGCCCGGAGAAGCACGAAATGTTTGAACACCATTGAATATGTTTTTGGGGCGGGCGCCACCAAGCAATGTTTGATGGATGGTGATCCAAAATTTCCTGTATGATGCGTAGGGCTATATCGTCAATATATCAAGTTTCAGAGACTACAGTCTAGCTAAAAATGTAATGAGAAAATATTATACAAAACATTCTAAGCAAGATAAMGAATAATTATCTATGTAAGCAAGTGAATTAAATATGGGAAAATATCTATGAACATGTCGGCACTATAATGCACGAGAGAAGTAGGGATATTTTTGGGGAAACATCAGTGTAAAGAATTTGTGTACATAATCTCGATTTGCATGGTTGATGAGTTATGCTGCATAAAGAACAGAACGATAGCTATTTACTGTTATGAAATTGTCTTTAAATATTCAATCTACAAGAGCTCTTTAAGATTAAGCCATTATGAAACAACTTACACAGTGGTATGAAAAAGGTAAGTGACTGATAATCTAATCACTAGAAATTAAAATGTGCCATAAGACTAGTATGCATTTGCCGTGTCTGCAGGGCCTCTCTTCAGGCCCTCAATGAGACGTGTCATATAATCAAATCCAAGAGACACGCACTGACACAGACATAAACGTAATCACTATATAACAGATGGTTATGAAGAGTGTTTCATGTAAAAAACGCCAAATGCTTATCAGTCGATAACGGCATTTTTTTCGAGAAACTCTTCGAATTTGGAAAAGACAAAACAGTATAGTTTATCTAAAACTAGTTGTAGCAGTTGTACTAAGTGATGAGAAAGTTCGTTCTTCACCCAGTAATTCTGGCTATAAATTTTATTCAGTGGATGGTGCAATCCTTTCCTGTACTAAACCAAAAACGCCGGCCTGAGCGACGAATATTACTAAGAGACGATAAAAGATGCGATCAGTTGGGATTTGTACAGTTAAGATCCGAAGAACTATAAATATCGTGCTACGAAAAGTACCATAAACAAATGTTACTAAAATCTAAGTCAAAATGACCTGATTCAGAAATGCGAATTCCATATTTGGTTGCCACGTATGGGTGGGTATCAATGGCGCTTAAACCAGGAAACTATTCCTTTCCTTAAAGTTCCACCGCCCTCTGTATCGACGCCATCTCGTCGACCAATCGCCTTGAGGATTTTATGCTGCTCTCTTATCATGTCGTACATTTCATTGATCCTGTGGGGGGAGGAGAGAGTYCATTATTAGTCAATTTTGATCTAAGAGTCATTCAAAAGGTGTCCAATTAATAGACCTTTGAAACTTTTTCACTACSGTATATGATGGCATCATATACCGTATACGCAATGCATCGTATATGATGWCATGCGCGCAAGATCTTCAAAATATCAATACTGGATAAAAATAGCCATGAGCCAAGATGAATTATCACGTGTCATACTTGTTCTCTTGTTCTTCCATTCTATCGACGATCTGAGCTACGGCGGGCGGCAGTTCGTTGCCTTCGTCATCAGCTTCATTTTCAGGCTGCCCAAATCCCTGAATCTTGTCGAGTATCTTATGAACAAAGAAGAAGGCATTTGATATTATTATTGTCACCAACAAAAGGGATATGATCTTGAGGGTATGGTAACTTGGGAGACGGGGGATGCAGGATTTGCGCACCCCGTCTTTTGTGACAATATCCAACATCTGTGTGCACCACCCTGTTTTTCAAAACCTTTCGCGTTCTTCCAAAAAAGGAATCCTAAATCAACTTTCAACAATTATGACCGTTTTGATCAAATCTATCAGCATCATCGCCTACTGAACTATTTTAAGTCTGTTTGCCATTGCCATTGACTAGTCGTTTCAATTTTCCATCGCCATATTGCTATGAGTCCGCATTAATAGAGAAATAAAACAGTGATTTTGGAGAAGCCGACTAGCGAGCAAATCAATCTGTTAGTYCCCWAGTGTTTTACAACGYACACTRCAGACAGTGTATAYTTCTGYGWAGTAAAAATCAAACCTTACCCTTGTTTTCAGTGGCAGTTTTTGATTTGGATRGACAACATGCTCTARAACCTGTACTCGACGMAGAAAGAACGAAGGCAATGATTCCTCGACTTCTAAMAGCAATTCGACCTACAAAGAGAATGATGTATGTTGTAGTCATAAACTCATTTTCTTTATGTAAATCTTTATGCCT